CATTCGATAGGCTCTAAATAGAAGCCTGAGAGGAACAAAGGGTCAGGGCGAGCTGACAGTCAATCCTCCTTAGAACGAGCAATCAATGCTGATCAGGGGTCCTTCGGCCAGACGGAAGGAAGCGTTGAGTGGGTAATATGATGTAATCCTTTTTTTTTTCACTTGCCGGGGGAATAGGAACCGGACTGATGCTTCCAGAATGGAAATGGAGCCAGGACCATAAGGACCTTTTAAAAACAATAATAATAATTAAAAAAAATCAATATCTGCAAATGGAGCCAAGACCATAAGGACCTGCTAAAAAATAAAATAAAAAAATCAATATCCGAAGTTCCTTCCTACTGCCAGCACAACCATAGGTCCACCATAGCTATGACTTCCCTCTTCACCTTCCTCTCACATGCCATGGCTATGGCGGACTACTAAGGGCTTCGCCGTCCCGTGCAAAAGACAACACAAAGCAGCTATGGTCGCTGCTCATCAGGCCGCCATGCCTGACTCTGCCTCGAAGCTTCCTTGGTGCGGCACTACGCCAACTGGGGCCTTCCAGATGCAGCGCCTAACAAGGTGATGAAGATGGTGTCCACCATAGCCAGCTAGGTACCTTGCCACTCTCCTCCTTCGCCCCCCTTCTTCCTCCTCCTCAAGCTGGGCTGCTCGCCATAGCCAGGCTGAGCGCCCAGCTTCTCTTCGTCCTCCCAGGCAGCGCTGAGAGACCAGCGCCCGTTCAAGTAGTACATCACCCAACCTTGCACACCGCAAATGAGGAGGAGCTATTCGCTCCTCTAGAAGATAGAGCGGCCTACTTGCCTCTTGGGCGGTGCCTCCAAGCAACCGGTACCTCCTCCGTTTTGGAGGGAAACATCATTGCAGGCTCTGGTATCGCCCACACAGGCCCCAGGCTACTTGGACTGGTACCCGCCTACCTCTGGCCTACCGCTATTGGGCCTCTAAAAATGCCAACTTTTTGTCTTCTTCTGCCTGGCCTCCAGTTCCCGACACATATACCGCTACTGAAGTGGTGCCGGCCGACCAGCTACTTGAGTGTTTTTCTCCCGCTGCCCAAAGTGTCGCAGGCCTAGTGTTTTTCCCACTGCAACCCTCACAGGTCACGGCCACAGGTAAGTACTGGCCCCGCGGGCCTCACAACTCACAAGTGCCCTGTCGGGTGACACGCACTCAGGCAGACGTGCACTGAGACGGGCACAAGGACTAGCAGGCACACACACACAGACTTAGAAAACTCAGCACAGTGCGGAAATCTTAGCGGCAAAACCCAAAAATCAGCAGTGTTCTCAGTCTGTATTTTGGCGGGTCATTACAGTGCACAATACAAAGGCATCCGCAGCATAGCACAGACATTGGGGGGGGGG